CTTCTAAGAGGTGTTTTTGTATCTTGTCTTATGTTTCAGTCTTTGATCCATTTTGAGTTTATTTTTTATGTATGATGTAAGGGAGTGTTTTAGCTTCATTGATTTACATGCTGCTGTCCAGTTTTCCCATCATCATTTGCTGAAGAAATATGTCCTGGGTAATTTGATAGGGATTGCATTAAATCTGTATATTGCCTTTGGCAGTGTGACCATTTTAACAATACTGATTCTTCCAATCCAGGAGCATGGGATATCTTTCCATTTCTTTAGGTCTTCTTTAATTTCCTTTATCAATGGTTTATGGTTTTCCGTGTGTAAGTCTTTCACCTCCTTGATTAGATCTATTCCTTGGTATTTTATTACTTTGGGTGCTATTTTAAAGGGGATTGTTTCTTTCTTTTTTTTCCTGTTAATTCATCGTTATTGTAAAGAAATGCAACTGATTTTTATATGTTAACCTTGTAACCTTCTATCTTGCTGAATTCTTCGATCAGCTCTAGTAGTTTTTGTGTGGACCTTTTAGGGTTTTCTATATATAGTATCATGTCGTCGGCATATAGTGACACTTTTACCTCTTCTTTTCCAATTTGGATCCCTTTTATTTCTCTCTCTTGCCTGATTACTGTGGCTAGGACTTCCAAGACTATATTGAATAGGAGTGATGATAGTGAGCAGCCTTCTCTTGACTAGATTTTAGTGGGAAGCTTTTGAGTTTTTCACCGTTGAGTACTATGCTGGCTGTAGGTTTGTCGTATATAGCTTTTATTATGTTGAAATGTGTTCCCACTATACCTACTTTGGTGAGAAGTTTTACCATAAATGGGTGTTGAATTTTTTTAACTTTTTTTATTGAGTAATAGTCATTTTACAATGTTGTGTCAAATTCTAATGTAGAGCACAATTTTTCAGCCACACATGAACATATATATATTCATTGTCACATTTTATTTTCGTATGAGCTACCACAAGATCTTGCTTATATTTCCCTGTGCTATGCAATACAATCTTGTTTATCTATTCTGCATTTTAAAATCCCAGTCTGTCCCTTCCCACCACCCACCCCCTTGGGATGTTGATTTTTATCAAATGCTTTTTCTGCATCTATTGAGATGATCATGTGCTTTTTGTCCTTTCTCTTGTTGGTGTGATGTATTACATTGATTGATTTGCGTATGTTGAACCACTCTTCTGTCCCTGGGATGAACCCCACTTGGTCATGATGTGTAATCTTTTTCATGTGCTGTTGGATTCTACTTGCTAACATTTTGGTAAGGATTTTGGCATCTATGTTCATCAGTGATATTGGCCTATAATTCTCTTTTTTGTAGTGTCTTTGCCTGGTTTTGGTATCAGGGTGATGGTGGCTTCATAGAACGAGCTTGGGAGTGTTCCCTCCTTTTCAATCTTCTGGAAGAATTTGAGAAGGACTGGTATGAGTTCTTCTTTATATGTTTGGTAGAATTCCCCGGTGAAGCCATCCAGTCCTGGACTTTTACTTGTAGGGAGGTTTTTTATTGCTAATTCGATTTCATTGCTAGTGATCGTTTTGTTCAAGTGGTCAGTTTCTTCTTGGTTCAGTCTTGGTGGACTGTATGTTTCCAGAAACTTGTCCATCTCCTCTAGGTTATTCATTTTGGTTCCATATAGTTTTTCATACTATTCTCCTGTGATATTCTTTATTTCTATGTTATTTGTTGTAATTTCTCCATTGTCCTTTCTTATTTTGCTAATTTGTACTCTCTCTTTTTTCTTCTTTGTGAATTTGGCCAGAGGTTTGTCGACTTTATTTACTCTTTCAAAAAACTGGCTTTTGGTTTGATTTTTTTTTTCTGTTTTTTTAATCTCTATTTTGTTTATTTCCTCCCTAATCTTTATTATTTCCTTCCTTCTGCTGCCTTTTGGGGTTTTTTGTTCTTCTTTTTCTAATTCTTTTAGCTTGTGGCTTAGATTGTTTATTTGAGATTGTTCTCTTTTCTTGAGGAAGGCCTGTATTGCTATAAACTTTCCTCTTAGCACTGCCTTTGCTGCGTCCCATAAATTTTGTGTGGTTGTGTTTTCATTTTCATTTGTTAAGGTATGTTTTAACTTCAACTTTGATTTCCTCATTGACCAATTGGTTTTTTAATAGCATGTTGTTTAACCTCCATGCTTTCCTTTTTTTCTCCTTTGTTCTCTGTTGTTGATTTCTAGTTTCATGACATTGTGGTCAGTAAAGATGCTTGAGATAATTCTATTGTCTTAAAATTGTTGAGGTCTTTTTTTGTGTTCCAAGTACATGAGCAATCCTAGAAAATGTTCCATGTGCACTTGAAAAGAATGTATATCCTGTTTTGGGGGATGTAATGCTCTGAAAATATCCACCAAATCTAATTTTTCTATTGTATCATTTAATTTCTCTGTTGTCTTATTTATTTTCTGTCTGGAAGATCTGTCTAGTGATGTTAATGCGGTGTTAAAATCTTTGACAATGGTTGTATTCCAATCAATTTCCCCCTTTCTTTCTGTTAGTAATTGTTTTATGTACTTAGGTGCTCCTATATTGGGTGCATATATATTAACGAGTGTAATATCCTCATCTTGTATTACTCCTTTAATCATTATAAAATGTCCTTCTTAATCTTTCCTTATGACCTTTGTTTTAAAGTGTATTTTGTCTGAAATCAGTATTGCTACATCTGCTTTTTTAATTTTTCCATTTGCATGGAATATCCTTTTCCATCCTTTCACTCTCAATCTGTATGTGTCCTTCTCCCTGAGGTGGGTCTCTTGTATGCAGCATATTGAAGGTTTTTGCTTATTATCCAGTCTACCACTCTATGTCTTTTGATCAGAGCATTTAGTCCATTAACATTTACAGTAATTAATGATAGATGTGTGTTTATTGCCATTTTGAACTTATTTTTGCAGTTGATTTGGTATTTCCTCTTTGTTCCTTCTTCTTCCTTTTGTGTTTTGATAAATTTCCTTTGTATTATCTTGGATTTTATGTAGTTGTTGTGACTCACTTGTAAGTTTTTGGCTTGTGGTTACCCTTTTTTGTAAGTCTTTAACCCATTGCTGTAACTGTTTGTATTATACAGATAGTAATATAAGCTCAAACCCATCCTGCTGAGAACAAAAAATTTAACAAAGAAAATAAAACTATATTTCCC